GATCATACACAGGAGAGAGACCATATAAATGTGCCAAATGTGCAAGGCATCTGGGTTCAATTCCAGGCAGGGTAAAACCTTGGGCAAGTTTCTTTACTCCACACACCTAATAATAATCCCTCCAAAAACAAAAACAACAAATTGGTCATTTTCAATCCACGACTGTCTGTGGGACACCGCTGTGCGCAATTGGCTGCCGTGTTTCACCCACAAATATACAGTCAATTCATTTTATAGCATATTCTGTGAAGCGCTTTGAGAGGTCTAGAAGACATGAAAAGCGCTATATCAAAAGCAAGGATTATTATTAGTTTCACAATGTCAGGAAAGCTCAACATTCACCGGCGATCACACACAGGAGAGAGACCATAATAAATATGGTGAATGTGGAAAGAGTTTCACAATGTTATGGCGCCTCAACACACACACAGCGATCGCACACAGGAGAGAGACCATATGAATGTGCTGAATGTGGAAAGAGTTTCACAAAGGTAGGACAGCTCAACGTACACCAGCTAGCGCTTACAGGAGAGAGAGACCATATACATGTGCTGAATGTGGAAAGAGTTTCACTCTATCAGGGAAGCTCAAGGTTCACCAGCGATCACACACGAGAATATAAATGTGCAAAGAGTTTTGCTCATTCCTAACAGAAGAAAGATCACAAATCCACTTGGTCCAATATCCATGTTTTGCACATGTGAAGCTATCGCCAGAGTGTGTTCCCCTGGTGAGTAAAACAGAACTGCACTGTGAAAAATGAGAGCCAATGTGTCCCAGCTGACGCAAGTAGTTAACATCACTCTGGTATGTATAATCGATCAAAAGACAACTTCTGCCCGGTTGATTACCAGGAGACTGGTTTCTTACCGGCAGAATGTTCTGTGTTTTCTGGTTTATTTTCTAGCAGAATGTTCTGCTCTATTATCAGCAGAATAAGATGTTCAGTGGTTTAATACCAGCATAATAGGGTGTATTTGCTGTATAAAAGATAACTTTATTGGCATCACAGATTTGGGGCCTGTCCATTCTGGCCAGTCAAATGGGAAATGTCACCAGTTTTGTGTTGGGAATAGTTGTAGTGTGAGGAAAGTGGAAGAAGATAGGAGGTTGCAAGCGATAGGAGGGGCAATCGTGGAGGCCTGAGAAGAGGGGAAGATAAGAGTGTCTATGAAGGATATAATTTTCACTTCTAAAATTGTTCATCACCTCCCTCCATCCCCAGTTCCACTAGCCACAAAATCCAGTTAATCCAAATCTCTGCTATCCGCTTACTAACCCACACTAAACTCCATACCCCCATCACACCTATTCTAATCAGGCTCCACTGGCTCCTTATCACTGAACAGAGATTAAGATCCTCACACTCATCCGAAGATACCTTCAGGTCCTGGCACCTCCCTACCTCTCAGACCTGCTTACTCCCTAACCTACGACCTGCTGCCTCCGCTCGACTGGCTACGGCCTTCTGCTTGAAGCTCGTGCCCTCTGTTCCACCATTGATGGCTATGCTTTCAGCCTCATAACTCTGGAACACTCTTCCGCTATCCCTCCACTTGCCCCCTCCTTCAGATCAGCCCTGAAGACCTTCATGTTTACCATCACGATCAATCGCTCTGAGACAATATATGAAATGCAAAAGTGTTGTAGTACAATCTATGGGTGTATTTAAGGCATTTTCTACTAAACTTCAGGCATGTAGCAGAAATGGTGTCGCCATAGCCACATTTGTAGCTAGTCAGTGATTTCTATTGGACAACAATGGTCTAGCTAAAATTGGTCAGTCATGTAATGGCTGTTTGTGGGACACTGCAGTGTGCAAATTGGCTCCCATATTTGGCTACAAATTAGCTTCTAGACATCCCAAAGCGCTTCACAGAATATACTGCAAAGTATGAATTGACTGTATATTTGTGGGTGAACACGGACAGCCAATTGTGCACAGCAATGTCCCACAAACAGTCATGGATTGAAAATGACCAATTTATTATTGTGACTACTGTGAAGCGTTTGGAGATCGACAATGCAAGAAATCATTTAATAATCTTCCTCAACCAAACAACTAAATCTGGCGTGTTAATAGTTCTACACTGCATAGTGAAGGGTTTAATGTTAATCTTTTGAGGTCTATGGATCAGTAATACCCAAATACATAAAAGCATTACAAGGGGATTACACTGTCTGTAGGTGCTGTCCAGAACAGCACTGTGCAAACTCCATGGAGAACGTGCTAAATTATTGACTGCCTCACAGTAAGTCAATGTTTGAAGCTCATGGATGAAGTCATATACATATACTCACTGAACCAGCTTCCATAACCAGCTCTTATGGTCAATTTGTCAAGATACCAGAGGCCTATCAGTGCTCACAGAATCAAAACCTTCTTCAGAAGTAGAGCAGAAAAAAAAAGACTAGCAGCAACATGGCAACAAGTTAACTTGTTTGGAGGGGCCATCCTTCAGATGAGATGTTAAACCAGGGTCCTGTCTGCATGTTCAGGCAGATAAAGATATTGTAGCACTATTTGAAAAAATGTCATTTTTTTTCCCCCTGGTGTTATGGTCAACAATCCATAAAAAGTCACTTACTTCATTGCTATTTGTGGCACACTGAAAATTACTGCAGCACAGATAGGCTGTTGTATTTGCCAATAGGAGTGGGATGCCAGTAAGGTAGTGGCGAGTTTCTCCAATACTAGCTTCACAGGTCACCAGCCATAAGAACAAGCACAAAGACAGATTTCTCAGCTTCAATTCTGCTTCAACAGTCAAATCCAGCCTCACTCCAGGCAAGAAACAGCTCAGGCATGCTGTAGAATTGGCCACTGTGATTGGACTGAATAATCAGTACAGAGCAATTACCCCGGAGTCATTCTACAATTCCACACGGGTGAAACAGATTTCAAGCATTACTTATACAAGACTTTAAAACTCATGGCTGAATTCCCTCTAGATGCAATCCTTAATGAAATGAAAGTGCTGTAAAACAGACATTATATTTGCTGGAACATCTGTAAGCCTACAGTGCCATGCATGCCAAACTAAAATTAAATACATGTGAAAGTATTCAAGCCACAAAATAGGGGATGAGTCTAATGAGTGACAGAATATGAAAAAACTTAACTGCTTACACCCCCGCTCAAACAATATTAATGTTTGGAAATAATGATAGTACCATTTATGCTCGCTGAATTAAAAAGGCAACAAAATGAAAGTTAAACAACAAAATTACATTTGTATGGCGCCTTTCATGTCAGGAGGACGTCCCAAGGTGCTGGACAATCAGTGTTTCGGACCGGAGCTGGGGTTGGGATCCGGGAGAGTGGAGGGCGGGGGAAAAAAAAGTGATCAAAGGCATGGTCGAAGAGGGTCTTGAGAAGGGCTGCAGAATTCGGGAATGATCTACAACCTCTGAGGGAGGAGTTGGGTAGGCTGACAAGCAGGGCGTTTGCATAGTCAAGCTGGATGTTATGAATGCATGTAAGAAGATCTTAACAGCCTGAAGTCTAGAGCCTTAATTTGTTGTTCCCCACGGCATCCCAGAGGATGAGACCCAGCAGCTAAATTGGAGGTTTGTGGTGCTCTAAGACTATTTGTCGGGAGATGTAGCCGAGCCTTCCATGGACTTGTCCAGAGTCTCACTGCAAGAAAATATGATCAGGAACTCATGTGAGGAAATCGCAGGCAGGACCTCATACGATCCCATGCACACCAAATCAAAATCTAATGGGATCATTTTTCATGTATAACATGCACTTTTCCCACTTCACCTAATGAATCAGAGCATCAAAGTAAAATAATAACATTCAAAAATCCAGTCAGGTTTCAGACTAATTTTCCCAATGCAACAGTGCAGTCCCCATTCAAATGGGACAAATTTTGTCTGTAGACCATATATAGGTGGCAGTTGGGACAAAAAGTAACGTGGTTAATTGTGATCATCAAGCTGTGGGATGCGCTAGGAACAGATTTCTAGTTGTTGTGTGCTGCTAATTTTTGGGTACAAAACATGCAAACAATGCCGTTGGTCAACAGCCCAACCTCACAAAGGCTAAACCATGCAACTGAGCTCAACCCCAGAAGTGTTCTGAACTACTGCACCACCTAGTGGTATCCTTAAATATTTCAGCAACTAGGTTTACCTGCTGTGTAATTCAATTTACACTTGTACAGTACTTTTCCCATTGGGAGAATTAAAGCAAGCGGGTCTCCTAACCCACCACGGCCTCCCAATGGCAGAACGTGGCCCACTCCATGTGCGTGGCTGGGAGACAGGCCGCTCCCACTGCCAGATTGTGAGCCGCGCAGCTCATTGAAAGAGTCATTGAGAGAAAGAGAGAACCCAGGAGACAGAGAGTGTGTATAAGAGGCGGATAGTGAGTGAGAGAGGGGGGGGGGGGGGGGGGGGGGGGGAGTGTAATTGAGGGCAGTATTTCGTGGTTGACAGACGATCGGAGCCTCCCTCAGTCACCACAAGCTGGACCGAGAACAGACACCAAGCGCCATGCAGTTTCTTCACACAATGCTGCTTCTTTTCTCAGTGAGAAACTCCTCTACTGATTTCACCCCCTACAACCTGTGAAATTGTTAGATTTCTGGAAGGGAAAAACAAAAATATTGCTTATGCAGCCCGTGGACATTTTTCAAACAGGGCATCTGGACCTTGGTAGTCAAAAGCTTGGACTACACTGGCAATAGACAAGACATTTAGTAACATCTTTCTCGCATCAGAACATTTCAAGGTACTTCACAGGTTAAGTATCCTCAAGCTTAATGAGTTTTTAATGGGTAAATCATAGCAGCCATATCCATTAGCAAGGTCCCAGAATCAGCCTGGACTCTTGAGGTGAATGCCAATTAATCTGAGGAATTGTTGGAGGAGGAACAGAAATACTTGAACACCAGCATTCCTCTCGTGTTGCTGAAATCAATCCCACCCTTCCACTCTACCACCAAGCCTTGAAATCTACTGCAATTCTCCAACAAAATAACCCAACTCACCAGTGTAGTTAGCTCATCAATGTCCTTAATAGATTCAAGTTTCATTGACAGGATATCCAAAGAGCCTTTCTGATCCTCTTCCTGCCGATGAGACCTATCAAAAATGCATAGAGAAACACGTCAGACAGCAATCTGCAGGGGGAACAAAAATAAAATCAACATCCACCTGGGAATTATTCTGTAAGGTTTCAAAATCTTTATTTTATAGAGATGTTTATAGAGATGCCTCCTGCAGTGCAAGACTGGATGTTGAGACTTTCTTTAGTGGGGCAGAGAATTCTTTAAAAAGTAAACAAATAATGTCTATAAATAAATCAAAGCAAACATTCCTGAGAAGCAAACAGTGCTGACCTGGTTAATTTGAAACCTGATTTCAGTAGCTGACAGATTGACCTTAGGTATTCCTAGCCAGATGTTAAAGACCTCATGGCACAACATGAATCTAACCCTGAATCACCTATTGCAACATCAGTGCTTTCGAAAGCACTTCAACTGTGGGCTCCATGTGTGCCTTTCATCCCAGGATGAATTTGCAAAATATGAGCTTCGATTTGTTTCCCCCACTCCCATTACCAAAATGTTTGCACAAGTGCAATTTTAAAAGTTTCAAAGTTCTACCACTCCTGAACTGCAGTTTCAATTTGTTGTTGTAGCCACTCACCCACCTCCAGTCCAAAAAACACCTAGAATTGTAGTAGTTTCTCCAGACATTAAGTAAACGTTACTCATGATACTACTTTGGAGTAGTTTTAAATGTGTTTTTACATTTGCAGCTGTTAGACCATACAGTTAACACAGCTAATAGTCAGAATGAGCAAGTTCAATTCCCATGAGTGGGAAACTAACCAGTCAGCTCAAGTCAAATATCCTACTTCCAAATTCCAGAGAAATGTACTCGAGAGTCAGCACCAAGGAACAAGCATTAATTATACACCATATTTATTTGCTACAGCACAGATGTTTGCAATTTCACTCACTTATTTCCCTTGGTAAACCCTAGTTTGGTAATAGTTGAGAAGTCACTGGTTTAATCTCTGCCAAGATTTCTGATACGAACAAGCAGATCAAAAAAAGCAGATTAGTACTACTACAGTTAGCCAATCACAATGGTTATGTAAGAATATTCTACATCCATTTTCTAAATATACTAAGCTTTCTAAAAGGCTTGAGTTACTTATTTTTAAGACACAATTGATGGCCTTTTCTTCCCCTGCTGTACCCACTACATCTCAATCCACCTCTCATACACATCCCCAAGCTTACTTCCTTTCCCATCGTCTACAACACACCACCCAATGTTCACCTATTTTCTCCTTCCAATATTGGTTACGACTTTCTCCCAGGTTACTGAAGTGGCTCAAGATAAACAGATCTACAATAATCCAGGCATCGGCAGGCTCACAAATAAGAAAAGGTATAGACATATTCTTAACCTTGAAAGAAAGCCCCAACAAGACTGGTGAGAGCTGCAATTACCATCGACAGACAACCAATAGAAGTTGATCTACCAGCACAACAGGAGCATTGGAATTTTACTGTACAGTGATTTGCTTTAGACAACTAAAAAGTTTACACAGGAATCTGTGGGGAAGAGTGCAGTGAGCACATGTTGCTACTGGCCTCTATTCCCTTGCTAATACAGTGCCATTGCAAAGTCGTTTGATTTTAAGCCCTGGATGTTTGAACTCTGAACAAACAGTCTTACCTGAGGTGATTCTCTTTGTTTTCTAGGCGTTCATTTGTTCTTTCAGAGCGAAAGCGTTTGGAGGCAAGTGCTTCCTCCATTCCTTTCAGCTCTGTCTTCCGTAGCTCATAAATGGCAGAACGAATAAGTCTACGCTCATCCAAGTCAAGGGTCACCTCCAGCTGATCAAAGAAAAAAAGATAGAAAATGCATTAGGTATCAGGGTAACATTCAAGTTCCTTTAGAATTGAGCGCAAAACTATCTCTCCTGACAAAACTCCCTCACTTTCCCAGGTATGTTATTTAATGAGGTACTGGAGAGCTACCAAAATGTCAAAGTCTGAAGCTCTTCAGCCCATTTGATCAAATCCTTTAAGTGTACCTTTCATCAGTAGAACCATACTAACGAGTAATTGGGTCCTTGCCAAGTATCGACATACTGCATAATAATGTACAAGTCAATTTCTGCTTGAGGTTTTCTGGAAAAGTAGAGATTTCATGGAAACTAAAGTTAGCCCAGCAGAGTTAAAAATCCCATCTGTACCTATTGAAACCCAACAATCACAGTTTAAAACACAATTCTTTGAAGTTCCACTGATGTGAGCACAAATTGCCTGCAGCTACTTGTAATGGAGCCAACTAGCATCCACCCATTGCACCAAAGACAAGTCTTAGTCTCAATTTAAATCCTTATTTCAGACACAAACCTACTAGACATTTATGTTGTACAGTGTGTGGTCTTTGGGGGAAAATAGGGGGGGTAACAAGCCCTATTCCAACAGCAAATGGGGTCTAGAAAAATTTAATCAGTGTCATAATGGAGCACCAGTCAGCTTTTGCTCGTGTCCTGTGCATCCGCCTATACGATTGCTAGTTCCACCAGCATTTAAACGCTAGCAAGTCAAAATGGTAAACTTCCTGATTGTGAAGTTATCACATACACTTAGATTCAGTTGAACACTGTCCTCTCCTTGATTACTTGATGTGTCTTGTCCTCCAGATACAGGAATTGATCTGGGGCAGTGTACATATGAAACAAATGGAAGTGCAGCTGTATCTCCTATTTGTGGTATGGCAGTTACTCATCACACCAACAACTCGGATTAAAATATCCCAGATACCAGCTATAAACTGTGTTGTACTCCAGAGAGGAGCAAAGCAAACCCAGAATTAAGTGCACATATTGAAAAATGATTCCCATTTAGCACACAGACCAATATAGCTGTTTCCCAGTTTAAATGAAAGATCAAGAGAATGGTGGGCAATAGACTTCAATAGAAAAGGTTTTTTCCCACAAAGCTTCCAGTTTTGATCAGTACAGAGATCATATGGTTTGCACTAGCACCGTGAAACCTTATACCACATGTATATATAAATGTTAAAACCATGCATACTTAGCTTTTATGTGGTTTACAAATGGTAAGTGTATAGATTTTTGCTAGTTACAGCTTCTGGACATTAATTATGTAGTAAAATATCAGATTCGCTTTTGGCACCCCTTTGCATTGCAAGTTGATAGCAAAGCCACTCCATCCAGAACTGGGAGCTCAGTTTCAAGCTAACAGCTTTAAGGTGTTAGGAAATGATTCTGCGACACTAACCAGGCTGTATAGCTTATTTGAGCAATCTCAAATTCAGTCGGCCTTTGTTCAGTAATCTCAAATTCAGACGGGTTAATTACAAACGTATTTATCAATATGGTAATCAGTAGGTCAGAGTCCACAATCTCACTTCCTGCACTGTGTCCCAAAGGTACGGGTGCTTTACAGAAATTCATTTTTTTGTTGTTCTAATCCACAAAAGTAATCAACAATGCAATAAAGTAGCAGCAGTAAGAAAAGTGAAATTGGATTCTTCTCCTATACTCTTCAATAGACTGTATTAGAAGCTCACGTTAGCCTACTGCAAAATCAATTTTCTATGAAATAGGAATTCTAAAGTTCAAAGGTAGCTTTACTGCTTCTCCACCTTTAACCTTCATATGCCCGAAAGAAACAGCTTCAAGTAGAGAAGATATTGGCATGAAGCACTTGCTCCAAAACAATGGGTAGCACATTGAAACAATTTGAAGTCTTAGATTATGTCACAAAATAATTTTGGTCATTCAATACATGACTGATTGGGGGACACCTCTGTGCGCAATTGTCTGTCGCGTTTCACCCAAAAACACAGCCAATTCACTTTACAGCATACACTGTGAAGTGCATCAATGACATAAGGCACTGTATCAAATGCAATTATTATTACTACTACTACTTCTCCACTCTGAAAGGTTCACCAGCTTGGCTCCCTTTGTAATTAGAAAGCTGTATAGCATATTGCAATGTAGTTTTATTACAACTGATTAAGCCTAATGCAGTCAACATGTAGTCTTTAAGATCAGTCATGAAAATCGAACGATCATAAGATCATAGTCCTGTAGCTCAGTGGTTAGAGCACTCACCTTACAAGTGAGAGACCTGGGTTCAATTCCAGGCAGGGTGAAACCTTGGGCAAGTTTCTTTACTCCACACGCCTGATAATAATCCCTCAAAAAAATTTCAATCCACGAGTGTTTGTGGGACACTGCTGTGCGCAATTGGCTGCTGCATTTTGCCCATATATATATATATATATATATACACACACACACATACAGTCAATTCACTTTACAGTATGTTCTGTGAAGCACTTTGAGACGTCTAGAAGATGTGAAAAGCGCTATATCAAATGCAAGGATTATTATAAATCAAGTTCGCACCCAAGAACTGATGTTCAGTCATTCGGGACAACTCAATTTAGCACAGTACCAATTCAGTTCCCCAAACTGGCCGGTCAAGTTATCCTTTTAAGTGTAGCTCTCCTAACAAACAGGTTTTCATATACTTGATTGGCCTGAAATAGTCTTGATTACAAATAAACCAGAACACTAAGATTACATAGATCTAGACTGTTTAAAAGTGAAACAAAAGGGTGTGGAGATTTAATCAGTTTCCACTGAAATCATGCATGTGTTACTTCAAGCTGATATTTTAGCTTTACATAAAAAAAGTCAGAAATATGCCATGATACAATGTTGTAATGAACACCTCCCGTAGCTCAGAAAAGATTAACAATCCTGCTATTTTCCTGGAAAAGCTCTCTGCTCTGATGAGCCTATCAGATTGAAAAAAAATCAGTTAAAATGGAAGTTGCAGTGATGATTTTTCATTGGAAACTGTTCCAGTAGCAAGTACTTCAAAGACTGGGACAAGTAGTCGGTGAAGAATATACCCCTGGATATCTGCATCCAGCAGGTGGCAGCTTTGCATGTCAAAAAAGTCAATACCACCAGTCATTATACCACACACACACACCATGTGTACTTTTGTGCTGCTGTGTAAAAAAATTAAAACTAAAGTATCAAGTCACTAGTACCAAAGCCCAGACTCAGCACTCCTTTGAGTTGGGATAAGTTTTACACAATGCCACATTGAACCCTGAAGAGTCTCAAGTGAACGGTTTCCAATTAATCTCTCGTTCTGCAAAATGGTTCAAAAATTGCTTTTACTTGAAAGGCTCTATTTAGAATACAAGTTATTGCAGTCACGCACCCCTTAACAATTGGTTCAAAGCAAGATTGGTGAAACAATTTTCTATTTCCAGGACCTTGTTTATTAAAGATAAACATCTTGAAGTACAGCCAAGTATTTTATTACTTTATTTCAAATCGATTGAAGATTTCAGAGTTCAAGTGCACTTGGAGGCCATTCCATTTAACAATGAATTGCTGAGAAAAACATGCAACACTTAGGATGTTGTTAAAATTATGGTTACAAGTGAAGTACGTTTATATAATAAAGGATTTTGAGAGGCTGTGGAAAATGGTAGCACCCCAGGGAAGTTAGTCAATTGTCAGCATTTGTAGATTCAATACCACTTGAATGAATTAAGTCAATGGAAATAAATGTCTCACAAGATTCACTAATGTGACCGAGTCAAACAGAGGCCGTTTCCCTTCCCCTGGGTAAGGTGACTCAGATATTTATCCCATATTGTAAAAGTGTCCAGCAAATTAAACAATATACTGTAATAATAATCCTTGCATTTGATATCACGCTTTGTCACATTGTTGAGACGTCTCAAAGCACTTTACAGGGTATACTATAAAATGGACCGACTACAAGTACAATCCTCTACACTGAATAGCAAATAAGAATTCCCTGTGAAACACTTAAGAGACATCGACAATATAGATGCAGTATTATGAAGGTGCAGTATCAAATACCAATACCACTGGTTTGGAAAGCTACATTATTCTATTTCAGCAGTTGAGTTCAAGGCAAACATCTTATCAGTTACTACAAAATTATTTGCTTCCTGTTGAATGTAATGGGATTTTGTAAACACAAAACTTTTAGCCAAGTCCCAACATCTTCAACTCAAACTCAGCATCATGCAGTATAATACTCAACAACAAGTTAATGACTCACACAAGTTTTGAATTTGCTATCCAAACAACTACGACTTTAGTCCATTTTATCATAATACAAACTTGTACTGCACTGGAGAACTGGCTGCACTAAAGAATGTAGTCCATAAACATCAGGCACTACATAATGAGTTTCACAGACCAGGTCACGTCAGCAAAAGGAGCACATTTTCCTTCAGAGAGGAGCTGAGAACGGCAAACTGATGAAAGGATTCACTGAACAGAAATACTGCAGCGATATTAAAGCTTTCACTAAACCTTCATGTATTTCAAAGCAGCAAGCGCAATAGGGGTAAAGTTTAAAGACGAGGCATTGGGAAGGATTTTATATGGGAGGGCTGGAGAGAAAGAGAAAATAGGTAGAATGCGTTAGTATGAAATGCGATTGAAGCCAGGACCCAAGGGGAAAAAGCTGAGTGCTATAATAGGAAGAGGGTTAGTATTCTGAAGATTAAAGTGGATCAACAAGTCTTCAATCAAACCTCTTGATTATGTGAATGGTACTCTGTATGAAAGCAACTATCAAATACAGAGGTGCTAATAGGTGCCACAAAGAAGAATTGTCGGTTGAAAGAAAGCTTTTCTGGTGTGTGTGTGTGTGTGTATATATATATATATATACATACATACATACATACACACACACACATTTAGTGATTGCGATATTTAAGACTTAAGCAACAGTTGTTTTTCTAAAAACACGTAATGCAGGAATTTCTCTGGAACTGGAGA